TGAATTGCATCATGGTACTCTTTTTCTCACAGAGAATCCCCAACTGAACTAAAGTGTGCAGTCAACAAAACCAAAAACAAACAATGCACATGTGCAAAATTAAAAATATAAAATGGCAACAATTTACCCATTGTAAATTGTATATAAGTGTTTTCTATTTTAAATTTTTTTAAGAGTTTTTTTAATGCACATCAAAATAACAGCGCTGTTTCACACTTAGCAATTTTTCAAAATGAGTAGCTGTTTATTAATAATATTCCTTTTTTTAATCATTTCAACCCCAAACAAGGTGATAAAGCCACTAAGACACAAGGGAGGTTACTAAGTGTGTTTTGATTAATTAATTTGTTTTCTATAGTATCTGTCTATATTTCTGAGATGAGGTATTATGTACACTATTTACATTATTTGGACTATTGTCCTCATCTTTGTCACCATATTTATTACAATGTTTCAGTTATCTCCTGTTAATTCAGTGGATAAAGGCATTAGTTAGATCCAATGACAGGACCCAAAGAGTGTGAGTTCAATTCCTGGTCAAGGCAATAGAGAACTTGGAGAGGGGAATTAGGAGATAACTGATAAGTGACATCCATTAGACATGGCATGGAACTGGAACTTTAGAACAGGGTTCAGTTCAACATTCAACCACCTGAAGAAGGCTGAAATAAATGGTTCAAAATTCAATATTCAACCACCTGAAGAAGGACTGGAGTTTGAATAATGTAAATAGGTTTTTCTAAAATCCCTTTCAGTATTTTAAGCCAAAAATATTTTTAGATTGTAAAAAGATAATGAGGACAACTTACTAATTAACCCATACCTGGTGTGGGAAAAAAAAAAAACAGTGAACTCATACTTTTCTCCAAAGGTATTTGCATGTAAGTGAATATATTGAACCCGACTGGAATTGGAACTCGGCTCTCCAATTAACAATTCTGAGGCAATACCCATTACGCCACCTGAATACCCAAGCTTACAGCACCTGCTATTCCCAAGCAGTCACTTATCCAGATTCTAAACAGTCTTGATGTTGCTTAACTTTGGTGATTGTATGGTTACTAAGTTTGAAAGAATCCGAGAAAAACATTGATAAGGAGAAATGACATGCCCAATCTCTAATTTGTGGGTAGCCGATTTGTTTTTGTTACAGCTTAACCTTTTGTAGGTTATTTAAAGCCAGATAAGAATTTGAGAGATAGTAATGATTTACAGATATGTTCTACTAATTAACCCATAGCTGGGGGAGAAGATGTGCATTCATACCTTTCCCAATGGTATTTGTGTGTAAGAGAACATAACTAACACAACTGAATTGAAACTTAATTCTCTGATTTCCAATTTCAAGCTGTTATCCATTACATCACCTGCACACCCAAACTTACAATACCTGGTTTTCCTAAGTGGTCACCCATCCAGATACTAACCAGTCTCGACAATGCTTAACTTTGGTGATCATACAGTTACTGTGTTTGAAAGAGTCCAAGAAAAACATTAAGGAGAAGATGATAAAAGGCTAGCAATTAAGAGACAGAAGATGATGATTGACATTGCATTTAAATTTTTGAAAATCAAAGTTGATTGGAAACAAGAAATGCAAGAGAAAAAAAATTTACCATAGAACTAGTAATTTCAACTGTAAAATCATGAAACCTAGCAGCCAATCTAGTACTACATTTAAATTCATAAAACTGAAGTACCAAAGAGGAAAGCTCATTAGAAGAATTACCATGAACATATTTATAAATTATGTTTATTCTTTTCATATTTTTCTATTCTACTAATGAATTTTTAGTTCCCATGTATATTTTGCCAACATGGTGTTATATATCTTTCACATGTTGTCAAAATATATATGGGAGCTAAAAATAAAGACAAAAAAAACTGTTAGTGATATATGATATATTATAAAAAATGGTAAGGGGAAAAGGAAACAGAAATTGCAGTCTATGCTGAGAAGAAAAAAAAACTACCAATCATAAAATTTTCAATAGTGAGTAAACTAATAAGCAAAAGGAATTAAATCATTTCAAACTGTCAGTAGACGGACATATTCTTTTTAACAAATATGAAAAGAACAATAAACCTCAGGAGTGTTATTAATAAACAGCCATCCATTTGAAAAATTGCTGTGTATGAAAGGGCTGTTAATGGGCAAATAAGAGAAAAATGTGTACGTGCACACACACAAATATATATAATATATTAAATAACCATACCACGGGTTTACCCAAGCCTTCCGAGTGGATAAATGGCATATCCCCTGTATATAGAGTGACAGAAATATTTAATGTCTTACCATTATATGGCAGGTATTTCTGCCATAATGTGTGCATGCATGTGTGTGTGTATATATATATATATATATATATATATATATATATATAAATAAATAAACTTAATTCAATAATGAATATTGATCATATAAATATACAGTGAAATCTTGACAAAAAATCACCTAGTGTGTAAAACTATGAATTTATTGATCCGACCCTGTATGTGTTCTGTCTGAAATCTATTGTCTTAAAATTCACATTACACAATATTAAAAAAGAAATATCTTCCTGTGTTATTTATAACTAGACTTATGATGTAGAAAAAGGTTTAGCAAAAAGATGAAGAATATTTTGCTTTGAAATCTTTTAGCATTTGGCATTGCACATTTGGAGGGAAGACATTTTTTAGAGATGGAACCTGCTAAATCTGCATAGCAGTTTTAACAAATCAACATTGATAGTCAATTTTAATGATAGAAAGAAATTGAGCCATTGTTTGATTCTTCTTTCCTGTGCCATGTCTCTTTAGGATGTTGGCAATCATAGCTCTCTACAATTTTCTGTCCTTTGTAGCCCTTGGTAAAGTTTATCTTTCTTCCATCTCTCCTAATCTTTGTTCTGCCAACCATTTACATAAGTTCATTAGGTAGCTTATGCACTCCTTTCCTGTCCCTCTAGCCTTCAATATGTCCTGTCAGTGTCAAATTTTCCAAGCCCTTATTCCTAATTATATACCCTAGAATTTCTGATGCTACATGTAAGGGTCCTTTTTTGTTCACATGTTCATGATATACTCAGAACCACATTTCAGCTGTTCAGCATTCCCTGCTCTATAGGCATAACAGTTCAGTACTTGTTTCTTTCTTAATAGATTTCTTTTGGAAAGCATCTTTCACTATTCCAATGAACCTTCAAAGTTGCTTTTTCCATCCTGTGTTACTAACTCCTATTTTGAATGATCAGTTATGGAAGAATTTCAACTCAGTTTGGTAATCCCAATCAGTGCCATTAACTTACCTTGTCCTGACAAATTTTAATGAAATATAAGTGTTCATATGTCATAACGTGTCCTCATATATTCTTACAAGAAGAAAAGGTCAAAATTATATTACTGCCCATATTTAATAATAATAATAATAATAATAATAATAATAATTGTAATGGTAATTAAGCAAGTCAACCAATTATATTAAATAACTAGCTGAATTTCCCACACCTTGCTGCGTGTTACACTTTTTTTTTTGTAAGAAAATAATGATCGATTTTAAATCGATGTTATAATTTTAATATTTCAGTATTACTCAAAAAAAAAAAAAAAAATCACCTACTCTTGCTGATGTGACCTCCATCTTCTTTCTTCTCCTATATTTTGGATAGGAGTCGTTCCCTTGTTCAAATTTAAATTCAATTTGCATCAAAGGAGAAAAATTTCCAGTGGAGGGTTTGTAAGGGAGACCCCTTTAATCAAGATGAGATATCCAAGTACCATGAGTAATATAGTTTCAGAATATATATGGTTAAGGGGGTCTATCCCCCAAAACCTAGGAGGAGTTTGATAATAGACAGACAGAGGTTACAACTTATATTAGGGAGAGAGATAAGGACAATTGGATTTGTCTCCTAAATCTGTTTAATTTTTTGCATTTGACCAATAAATATCGTTCTTTTTAAAAATTCTGCTTCTTGTCAGATTAAATAGGATATATATTTTTAATATATTACTATATTGTTTTCCCAGAATTCATGATTCTTTATTGAAGTTATTATTACAGTTATTCTCAGCATCACTTTGTATAGTTCAAAGTTCTAACAATGTTGCATCTACAACTGCAGTATTGGGTCTAACCATTACCAAATGTTTCAAGAAAAAAAATTATATTTTATAAGCAGTCATCACACAGCTTGTACATTTTAACTAAAATGAAGAAATTCAAGTGAATTTCAAAGATGGAATATAAAAAATTAATGGTGAAAAAAATAGAAGCAATTTCAGATTGTGGCATGAAGATGAGCAAAGAAATTTCCCAAACCAATTTACTAATGTAGCAAGTTTGATCCTCACTGGATGTTCAACTACTCTAGCAGACTACTTTGAGTTTAGTAAATCTTAATATGCAAGATATGACATAAATTTTTGGGGTTGGTTTTATCACATTAAGGGAAAAGAAAGAGCAGAAGAGAAACTGCAAAAATATACAAAATGAGCTCTACTGTGATTGTGTGTTCGTTGAAAGTAGGCAACAGCTGATAGTAATTATCACTACTACTGCAACTGCTGGCATCATGTGTTTCATTGCTATAATGTTTTTAAAATTATTAAAAAACAAAGTTGTAGAAAATTGTCACAAATAGTTCATTTTGTTCAACAAATCATATCTTTTGCTATATATATATATATATATATATATATATATATATTTAATTTATCCATTTGTAAATAATACATTATAATAATCTATAACGAAGAATCTTTTATGAAGACTATGCTAAAATATACACAATACAAAGCTCGTGAGTGATTCAAGGTAGAGGGTTAATGTTAAAATGGTTATAAAAATGAGGTGTGTTATACGAATCAAATGGGAGATGGTAGAAAGTGGAAATTGTATTGAGAAAGAGGATAGATAACGACTGAGCCTTGACTTGTGGTTAAAATTGTAGTGTTCAGAGAAACATGCATGTGAGAGTCCGTTCTATAAAATAACTAAAATGAAAGTTAATTACCTCTAACGATACTTCCTGAACCAATAACTCGGTCAATTCATGCCATTGTTCTTGCACTCCAGCCACGGCTTCTTTTAACTGATATCCATTGGATACATTCTTCGTCTGCATAATTTGCTTTGCTAGTTGTTTAATGCTGTCCATATCAGATTCTTTGCCTTTCTTTTCCGCGTAGAGAGCGTCAATCTTTGCTTTGAATAGGTGTGAATTATGGGAAGTACCTTTGGGTTTTTTGTGAATAGAGTCGATGGAGGTTGTAAGCCAGCTTTTCAAGTCATTCATCTGGTCTTCCAGGTCTTCGATATTGCCAATGACACCTTCCAGTTCCAAGATGCGATTGTTGGACAACTTTTCCAGGTTTTCCATGCGTTCGTCTAGGACAGCGAGTTTTTCTTCTGCCCCATCCATATCATGAGCCTCCTTGGAAAGGTTCTCTAACAGCGCCCGGTAGCTGCCAACATCGCCATGGATTCGTCTCTGTTCATGAAGGTGTTCTTCCAGCTTCTCTTTGTCAAGACATATCGGAGACTTAGACGACAGTAATTCCTCGGTTACTGACACCCATGAATTCAGATTATCCAACTTTTTAATAACACTTTTAGATTCTGTAAGAGCGGAAGATAAAAAGCCCTCTTTACTCTCTACTTTCTGGTAGAGATTTTTATGTGTTGACTTTTGTTCTTCCATAGTCTTTTTTACTTCTCCCGCCAAGGGCTTCATATTTAAGTCTGTGAGTTCATCCACTAGTTTGGTTCCAACATGTTGTAAGTCCCGTACACGTTTCTCCTGGTTCAATAAATTGGCCTTGAGATATTTAAGATTTTCTAGGTCACGAGTCATTTCTTTGGGACTTTTGGCAGACGATTCCTCGTCGATTACGCTAATCTTAGAGTCAAGGTCAGGGTAAATGGTGGCCAGTTTGTTCGCGAGTTCGGTAAAACCCTTGCGATGTTTCACCACCGAGAACAGTTTTTCCAGATATCGCGTGCATTTCTGTGTTATATCCCGGAATTTCTCCTCCAAGGCTTCGATTTCGTCGTCAATCATAGCTGATTCTTCTGTCTCTTCTTTGATCGTTGGGAGAATGTGCACGTGTTTCCGGTATCGATCCACTCCATTCATAAATTCCTGCGAAAAGAAAAGGAATAAATATTAATGGATTTTAAGTATTTTGTTTTATGAAGAGATGTGAGTAAGGCCAATAATATTTAAACCAAAATCCATAGACAATCTTGTATTAGCGTGAAAGTAAGAAACATTAGAAATCTTACAGGAATCATTTGAATTTGGAATTGTTTTGTTGTCATTGTAGACCAGATTAGGGTAACAATTATTAGAAAAACAAAAGCCAAAACACGTTTTAATTTTTACCTCCTTTTTGATGTTATCTAGAAAACATTAAACATTTGCTCAAAAACTTTAAAAATAACTTTTTCACGATATTTTATAAAATGAAAAAAAATTTCCAAAAAAGGTAGGGTACACCAAAAACTGAACTTATGTGAAAACATGCCGGAATTTGATGTGCAAAAATACAAGCAAGAACTTACCCAATAGTTAAAAATAAAATAAAATCTTAAGAGATGGGGTAGAACCAGTTACCGTACATTTAACCCGTTGAACCATGAGACTTGAACACTCATCGATAGATTATCTCTGGATATTTTGGATAAATATCGCTATTTCAGGACTGCCGTGGAACAGAACGAATCAGCAAAGGAGAGCAGCAAATGGCTTATACAATGTTGTCTTATGCTTCTTACATGTTAGGCTGTGTAGCCTTAAGACCTGAGCCCGCTTGTCGATACACCATCTCTGAATATTTTTATTAAATTTCAGAACTGCCTCGGTAATAGAACAATTCAGAAAATGCCTAGTACAAAGTTGTTTATCTGAAAATCCGGATTTATTTGTACATGTCAGATTTTGTAACTGTTTTCGGGGATTAGACGTCGGAGCATTTTACCACTAAATCGGTTCAACGGGTTAATTGTCAAAATCCCATTATACCCTGGATATATCACTTCCAATTCATCCACCAACATTTTTTCTGGTTTAAAAGAATAAAAGGATACTTATAACTCTGTATACTCACCGTTATTTTTCGGTGCGTTATGCTTATGCATGAAGATTTAAATCTAAAACCTGGCCACATGGCCTATGAAAAAGGCAAGCGTGAATGAATAACACTTAGGATTTTGATAGTGTTATGCTTTTTTTTCTCAACAATTCACACCTGTGTGCGATATGCATATATCAGATACAGTGGGTTAAAAACTGCCGAGACCGTTACAAAATTATCGATTATATAAGATAGGGCACTTTCTCAAGTGATTTATTTTTGCTGGACAGGAAGGAATTGTATGGAATTTTTTCGTTGCAATAATAAATGCCATCTAAAAAATATTTTTCTAAGTACAAAGATTAAATTATATTTCTGCAATTTTCTGTTTTGTACTGGCTGTTCGGTCAATGATTACCGAATACTTCCTTTATAAGGATACGACTAATATTACTATTAGCACTAATTTATCGGTGTGTAATGTCTTTCTGGGGTAGTCCAGCAATGATTAAGATAAGCCATTTTAATAAAAAAAAATATATATATATATATATATATATATATATATATATATATATACACACACACACACACACACACGTGTGTGTGTAAAATTTTCCGATAGAATATATCTGTAAAAGGAGAAAATGAAAACGCGTCAGTTGAGTTTGTCTAATATATATATATATATATATATATATATATATATATATGTATGAGAGAGAGAGAGAGCGAGACAGAAATACCTCCCACATAATGGTAAGATTACGTGGGAGGTTTTTCTACCGCACCTTGTTATATATCTATATCTCCAGAGGAATTGTGGAAGACACCACCATCTTCAGCTAAGTTCGGATAATTACATTTCAAAAATACGTTTCAATTTATTATAATCTGATTTTTTCTTAAATTTATTCTGTTAAAGTTTGATTATAGTTTTAAGCAATTCTGATGTTAGCTTAATACCAATATAAACAGTCAAACTATATCCCGGTAAAGACTCTCACATGAAAAAAAAAAATGAAATCTTAAACTTATGGAATATATAAGACATACAAGCAATTAATACTTGAGTTAAGATTTATATGCAAATTAGCAGACTTGTTATCAAGTCGTGTCTCTGGACGATGGCCAAACCAAAAGCTACACAATAAAAACATACAAATTTGGATGAAAAAGAATTGTGTCCACTAATAAAGCGTCATTATTTGTATTCTTGCTTTTAAGTTTTTCCCCCCAGACATTTTCAGGTTGTTTAACACATGTTAAATTCAAATTTAAAATGAAGTTTGTATTTATAACTATGACGTATAAAAACTTGCCGTAGAGAAGATTAGCAGTATAATCTTGAAAGCGTGCGAGTTCGGTCTTCGCTAAGTTTCTTACGAATATATACCCTGTGTCGAACTAAATCAAACTTAGCAATTATCTTATGATATCTGCAGGGGAAACTGTAACAGCAGAAAACGATTGAAGAATATCGTAACCCATCCGGTCCTGATTATATATATATATATATATATATATTTAGGCAGCATATATTCATTCAAAAGAAATGAATCATTAAATTGTGATAGTGATTTTTGTGAACGCGCTTTGTTATAATTATTTTAAAGTTAACGATTGTAGCTATGATGTTTTTGGAAACAAGCATCCACAATGTAAGGGAGGTAACCAGAGATGGTAAAACGCAACATGGCGTTAAATGTTAGTAAAATCAAACTCACTTTAAAACATTGCTGCTACACTCTTAATAAATATATATAATATATATGAGACAGAGAGAGAGAGAACCACATTTACCTAATTATATTAATGAGTCACTTTTAACCCATTTCTAAAAAAAAAAAAAAAAAAAAATTACATGGTGTCTAAAACACATTGGACCTAAAGAGTAGTGCTTAGTTAAGATCAGATATGTCTGATAAAACCATTAATAATAATAATAATAATATTAATGGCAAAGAAACTACCAGAAATTTGTATGAACCCCACCCAGACCCGGTTACAGACATAAGACCTGTAACAATTTTATGGGACCTTACAATACACACAGACAGAACAAACAAAAAAAAAAAACCAAACAAAAAAAAAAAAAAAAAAAAAAAAAAAAAAAAAAAAAAAAAAAACAAAAAAAAACAAAAAACACACACACACAAAAAGCAGAATATGCTTTCATATTGGCCTGGAAGTACCTGCAGGCTGTAATGAAGATCTTTAAAAAAAAATCCCATCAAAAAAAAAAAACATGACACATGAAGATATCAATACTTTTTGTTGGGATTGGGACTCTGGGTTTGATTAGAAAAGAGTTTGGTAGAGTCATTGATGGAATTCCTGGCTTCTCATGCCTTAAAGAAATACATTTTTTCTCACAAGCACAGTTCACACTTTACGAATAACTTAATCTATGTAAAATGTGTGCGCTCTTAGGTGGTTTTATTTTTTTTAAAATGTTTCGTGGAAAGTATCTTAATGCCATTTCTAACCTTAGGTTTATTGTTGGGACCCGAAAAGAAATGAGTATGCAACAAAAATTAAAGGAAATAATTATAATATATTGGTTGGCCGTTCGTATGCGAGGATGTCGGTCTACTGGGATAGCTAGCCAATGTTTGTTCAACACCCAGGGCCTACATGTGGTTTATACTACAACTATGCTGAACTGAAATTAGTTTCTGGGAGAGAAGGCATTATCTGGCGTGATCAACAGTCTGAACAAGACTAGTACGCTCAAACCCTCGGCCACGATGACTTGTAACTTCGTGTTAGCACAACCTTCGGCAGCTCTCAAATAGTTTCGAGTATCAATTTCACTCACAAGGCTTGTGTCAACTCCTGGTATGGTTTTCAGGGACTTCCCAAAGATGTCGCATGCAGGGATCCCCTCCTCCAGATGATGGTAATAATAATAATAATAATAATAACAACCTCAACAATAATCTGTCCAAAAGTCGGATCTAAAGGGTTAAAACATCGAAGTAAATAAATCACTAAAGAAAAGCTAAATGACTAAGTAAATAAACTAACACTCATTAAAATCTTTTTCTTAAAAAAATGACTGTAACAAGTCAGAAGCCAGTAGAACTAACAATAGAAATTTGTCAAAAGAAATTGGCAAGGAGGACTACTTGATAAATGAGACATTGTACAATGCCAGATTTTGGATTCTCTGCTAGAGAGATTTCTGTCGGCAAATAGCGAACAAAAATAAGATTGAAACCAAATGCTTAATTTGACGCGCTTTCAATGAGTGATAAAAATAGGTGTAGTTGATTGAATAAAGCTCGATATGACAACACCGATCAAAACTGAATTTAAAACAAAAACAAAAAAAAAACAAAAAAAAAAAAAACAACTTATATTTGAGTACCAGTTGGGGAAAAAGGTATAATTCGACATATTGATTTTATGTGAACAACATTTAACTAAAATTTAAAACATTTGAAATGATAAGTACAAAAAGAATTTAAAGAAAATAAAAACTACAAAAGATCTTTGCTCACAATTTCTTAAGATTTAGACTGAATGTTTGGAAGCCAATCTGACCGAGTCTGTTTATATTTCTGGATAAAGGCGTTTGTTAGATCCAGTGACAGGACCCAAAGAGTGTGAGTTCAATACCCGGTTAAGGCAGTGGAGAACTTTCAGAGGGAAATTAACAGGAGATAACTGATAACTGACATCCATCAAACATGACACGTGGAACTAGAACAGTCTACCCCAGTGAGCGAAATAAAGGGTTCAGTTTGTCTGAGAAGGAAAACTAAATTCAAAACTGTATGTTACGTTGGTGAAGCACATACTATGCAGCCAAGGAACGGATCATTCGAATTGACTCAATGATCTCGACTACGGTCGATTTCTTTTTTTATACTCTTGACCGCCGAATTTAGCAGTTAAAAGCTTAGGGCTGTCAATAACGATGTGTTGTGATCAGTCTATAGGTTGACTACTTAACAGACTGGGTTCTATAGCCTTGGGTGGCATCCGGTCTAGAAGGAGGAAAACTGAATATGAAACTGTATGTAGCCCTGGGGAAGCAAACACTATGCAGCTAAGGTAAGGATCCTTCGCACTGACTCGATGATCAGGAAAACAGTCGAATTTTTTTTTTAAGGAATTCGGACTTTTCGAAAGGTAATGCTGAAAACTCCTGACGAGTGGATCGAATAATTACAAAAAGGTTCGTCTACGAAACTCTGGAGTCGGGGTGCAGAATATAACATCAATGAGCTAATTGACAAATTTTGATTATAATAAAGACTTAAGGATTTATGCAGTGTTGGCATTGCAAATTTTAAAGTGATAAAAGAAACAAAACATTACTTTTGATTTGAATGACGTTAACTCCCTAAGATCAATTACGAAATCTGACTTCAGACGCCAACTTTATAATAGCCAATTTAGGCAATAACATTTACATAGGTTTATTTATAGACCGAACTGGAGTCTTAACATTTTCACACTAAAGTATCACTGCAAAAAAAACTTGACGCCTGCAGATGGAAATGTATTAGAAAATACCAAGTACAAAATAACTCGTAGTCAGCGCCATAATAAAAACTGCCAAGTACGAGTTATCCTGTTTTTGGTTGTCAATGTGTTAAATTAAACCAGTTTTTAATAACTTGCATTAAAATTCAACTATGATCTAAATTCTGGGAATATTTACGCATTTTCCACTGATCCACAATAGCAAATTAAAAAAAAATGAATATGGAGTTTTTCTGCTTGAACTTAATAGATTAAAAGAAATAAAAAAAAAAAAAAAAAAAAAAAAAAAAAAAAAAAAACAAAACAAAAAAAAAACAAAAAAGAGAAGATTGTCCTTGTTATAAGTCAATTAGTTAACTTTCGAGGTCGGCATGAACTCGAAATTTAAATTTGCACACGTTACACGCAGAGAAGTAAAGTTGATATACCGATTTCAGATGGAAAGAAAAAAAAAAAAAAAAGTCTTACCTGCGTATCATCTCGGAATTTGTCAGCAAGTTTCACGAGTTCAGAAATTTCGCTTTCTTTTGCCTTCAGCTCTTCAACGTGTTTCTTAAAGAAAAAAAAGAAAAGTCAACATTTATAAAAATCAATTTAAATCATCGACTTTTAATGAAAACTGTTGCTAAAAAAAAAAAAAAAAAAAAAGGAAAAACTCATAAATCATACAACAAGACGGCAATTATAAATTGCAAAAGTGATCTATATTTGGGGAATACACAGACAAATGAGGAAAAAAATGAAGGAAATAATTCGAAATTATTGTTTTCTTTAATAAATTTAGCCAATCACATTTTTTTTTTTTTTAACGTTAGCAAATAAACCACAAAGTCTCCAATTTGGTATTGTAAACATTTATTGTAACACACACACACACACATATATATATATATATATATATATATATATATATATATATATATATACACACACACACAGGAATGGATTTTTCATTTCTTAATTCGACATTTTATTACTTAAATGTTTTAGTGGATACCCATATTTAAATAGATGCTCCGTCAATTTATTAATTAGTCTTAGAAAAATATGCACTTTCGGAGAAATATATATATAAGAAAACGAAAGAGGGGGAAGAGAAGGAGAAAGAGAGGCGGAGGAGGGAGAGACAGAAAGAATTTTGAATGAGAATCCGTTCAAATGGTTAATATATAAGTCAATTAGAAAATTTCCGTGTTGACATCTTTCGTTGATGGATAGACTTTATTAGAAATTCTATTTCAACAAAAATTGACCTTAGCAAGATAAAACGAGATTCACATTAAGTATAGAGACATTTTATTTTTGCAGTGTGATTTTAGAAATTAGATTTTAACTAATTTCAACTAACTTTTTATATCCCACATTGTTTTAGTACTAATTTAGTAAGACCCAGATAAACCGAGATAATTTGGTTCTATATTAATCGGAGAAGATTCGGAGATCATGGCAGTCTCAATGCAACTGGGTTCGAGTAAATTATATTTACTTTTTATTATATGAAAACGACATCTTTCCTGGTCAGAATTAGATCAGGAAAGGTTTATATGGCAAACAAGTGGTTCCATTTTTATCCGAGTACTTTCAACCATTTCCGTCATTATCAAGAACTGGTGTTATCATTAGAGCAAATAGGATTTTGTTAATTGCACCCGAACATTGGAACGCTAGAATTCTAATTAAAATATATGCGTATCATACAAGTGACATCAAGTGTAAAATGGTTTTCCGATTGCACAGGAAAAGAATGTATCAAATATTTATATGTATTAAATTGTAGCAGTAGATTTTCCCGTCGATTGTGATGCATGAGAACCTAATAATTTAAGTTTTAAAAGTGAACCGCCATATCCCACTCCTAGGATTCGATTATGGTGCTGAATTGTGTGGAACCAGTCGGAAGAACTATTAACAGAGAAATGGTAAAAAAGTGTGCCATGAAATCTCCAAAACTCCTCCTCAGTTTGAATTCAGAGTTGTTGTTCTCCCAGTCCTGATTACCAACCAAGGTTACACAGCCTAGTGTGTCCTGCTATTTAACCAATAACTAGTGAGAGATATATGGATACATACATTTTCTAAGGGTATTTGTGCGTAAGTAAATGTAAATCGACCGAAATTCGGACACAGGTCGTAGATTTCTCTAACTGCTACACGACTCGCACACACACACACACACACATATATATATATATATATATATATATATATATATATATATATCAATTCGCGCAACGGTTTACTGAGAAAAAAAAAAAAGAGAATGAAAAGACTTTAAAAAGGGACCGGAAAACCAATCCTAAACAAGAAACAAGGGATAAACCTCTATTCCTGTTCAAAATACCGAGGACCGGGTGATATCAATCAATATCCCACCGCCGTAACGTAGCTTTGCCGCGCCATTTCTATAAGCACTTTCATGGTAATTGTTCTAATGAATTTTCCTCTATACTACCTAGACATTGTGAATTTAAGCGCATTACTAGACTGGCGTCAAGGACTCAACTTTTTATAGTCGACATGGCTAGATGTAACCGTAGGTTCTATGATAAGTTTCTTCTATCGCACTTTTCACATGTGGAACTCTTCAGGCTTCTTGTTTCCCAGCCAATTTTGAACTTCAAAAAATTTAATGCAATATCAATCGTTATCTTCTGTCTTCTTAATTTGTTTTTATTATTTTCTCTCCTTAATAGTTTTTCTCATATTCTCTAACACTCAGTAAACCCATTGCGTCTTAGTGGCTTTATTGCCTTGCTTAGAGTAAAATGATTTAAATATATATATATATATATATATATATATATATATATACACACACACACACACACACACATTGCACATTTTATATATATATATATATGTATAACTTTAAATGTATCATTAATGATTTGGAGATTTTAATCTTCAGAGTGTATTTAAGAGAGAGATTTGTCAAAAGCTATAGCTTGTATATGGATTATCGACATTAAATCTCAGTTAAACAATATAGGTGCTCGTCTTGTATGATTAAATACAACAAAGTTGTGATTAAAAGCTTAAGTGGATTTATATAATTAAAATCCAGATAGCATTTCCCTTACTAACTTTTACGCGTGTAAAAAAAAAAAAAAAAAAAAAAAACAACTTACAAAGTCATAAAAGGACATACTGATAAGAAAAATGTTGACAAGTCAAATCGGATTTCACATTTTGTTTATTTAGTCGGCTGCTGATTCATCGAATCCCCAAAACCAAGGCCTTGAAAAATATTTCATCGATTAGATACTAACATCTATAAGAAATATATATATTTTTTGTTCATTTCTTTTAATGCGTGAAGAAAGTCCCAAGTAATTTTGGGTCACTAAAAATATCCATCTATATTTCTGAGAGGAGATATTATGTACACTATTTACATTATTTGAACTATTGTCCTGATCTTTGTTGCCATATTTATCACGTTTCGGCTGTTGTACGCTCCGGCCTTCTTCAGGTGGCTGGAATGTCGAACTTAATCCTTATTTCGCTTGTTGGAGTAGACTGTTCTAGTTCCAGGCGCCATGTCTAATGAATATCAGTTATCTTCTGTTAATTCACCTCTCCAAGCTCTCCACTGCCTTAATCAGGTATTGAACTCACAACTCTTTGTGCCTTGTCACTGGATCTAACCAACGCCTTTATCCTTTGTGCCATGTGTCCTTAACTGATAACTGATTTGAGATTCCAACCACCTGAAGAAGGCCGGAACGTTGTGATAAATATGGCGACAAGGATGAGGACAATAGACCGAATAATGAAAATAGTGTAAAAATATCCAACTTAAGAAAGTTCTACGGAATTAAAAATGTCTTTCTGAAAAGTTCACAGTCAGTCCTACTTTACAAAACCTGAACAGAAAACCTAAAGTATTTCAAATGTATAATTCTAACGTCTCCCTATAAACTCTGAAATTTCATTTACTATTTATTTATTTTTAAAGAATAGGAGTAGATAGGTTCGACCATCCGGATCAAACTTCCCGGTCTTTTGAACAGGAGTAGAGGTTTGCCCCTTGTTTCCTGTTTAAAATTGAGTTTCCAGTTCCCTCTAAAAAAAAAATTTTTTTTAATTCCCTTTCACTCCTAGTAGACCATTATTGCCTTGCTTGGGGTAAATTGATTAAGAAAAAATAACCAATCGGAAAATTTCTCGGTTCGACACAGAAAAGATTCATTCAGAATCCTTTCTTGGTTGGGTCAGGAACTTTTCATCATTCTCCCGGAGTAATTCACGAAATGTGTATTGTCTCCCATAGCATAACTCTAGGATGACTAGATGTATGGCTGCAAAACTGATTACTCATAAGACACCGGATCACATTTATAGCCATAGCATTTGACAATTCTAAAGCATTTTTCTAGGGAGGGGGCATCAATTTAAAAAGCAAACCGAGTGCTAAATTGGACCCTTACTTTGTGTCCATCAAATTATCTAAATCGAATCTTTAACATTTTTAACAGTGATGTTCAACCTGTAAAAAGCCCAAAAGAGCCACTCGAAGTAGAGGGTTACAGAGTAAGAGGCACAGTTCACGGGGATATGTGGGGAAGACAACGATTAACCTTAGACTTGAATAGGTTAAGATTGTAGTGATCGGGGAAGCATCCTCTTGGGAGTCGTTTCCACAAAGCAGTATAACTGTATATTTTTTTTTAACTGTATTAAAGTAAACATCTCGATGGAAAAATTCCTTGCCAGAAACTAAAGTTGGCATCCTATGAGATCCCCACCCCATTCACTGGAGAATCAAAATTTAAACGGTAGAGATTTTTTTTTACAAATGTAATGTGTAATTAACTAACGGGGCGCCATAGACGCCTCTCAATGTTGTAGAGGACCGTATTGGTTTGAGTGTTGTTGAATTAGAAACACGTGCTGTTTATTCCTGATAGAAGGTCCAGCTATAAGGTGAGTCCAATCGAAGAGGTAAAGAAAAACAAGATATATATATATATATATATATATATATATATGTGTGTGTGTGTCATCAAATATATGTATTAAACAACAAATTTACAAGCGACAAATACATCAACATTTGTGTGTGTGTTTGTGTGTGAACGTAAAGAGTTTGTATATGGGTGAAAGTTTGTACGTACGTGTATGTGTTTCATGGCATTTTCGCCACAAGTGGGCGAAAACGCGGATTTCTACGAGAGATCACATTTTTAAATGCATTCGCTGAAATGCAAAGTGAAAAAGAGAACGGGGCAAGAAGTCGCTCAGTATTTATAGTGTAGGGAGAGCGACCCCTAGTAACATTTAGGAAATTAAGGAGGAGTTAACTCCGACAATATCATTTATTAATAAGATCTCTCAAAAAATATTTATTTGAGCGTTATGTCTGTTTATTTAGCACAACAATAAAATCTTTTCTGAAACCTCCACCACATATTTAAATATCAATCAGGGATTGCCGCGATTATTATTATTTGTACAATGATGTTCACCCTGTACAAGACCCTACGGCTACTCAAGGTTGAGGGTTATATATATTCAGGTGAGATATGATTGTAAATACCTAGTTAGAATCC